AGTGGGTATTAGTGAGCCCGGTTGAGAGTTTACTGAAACATTCGATATGGTATCCGGATTCGTCATTGACGGCTCGCTCTCCACACGAGAATAAACGCGATTATCACGCTGTTCATACACTTCCTCCGAATCTGAATGTTCAGGACTGGTTGCGATTGAGGAGGGTCGACCGGAAGCTTGTTGTAGTTTCACTGTGAACATGATGATTTTGGATTCTTCGATTTGTGGATTCGTGTGATGCACATTATCGATATGTATGTACTGTACGTGTATGTACGTATCTCGATGAATCAGCCAATGATAATTATTCCGATGCAATTGTCGATGGTCTACCAATGGTAATTATTCCGACATTCCGAAATAATTAAAAATGGTCCTAACTTTCTGAAACTCAACTCTTTCATGAATATGGTAATATCTCTTTCAACGAAATTTTGAGGAGAAACACATATCATGGCTCAAAATAAACAAGCACTTAATGTTAAAGATGCGCTTTCATATCTTGATCAAGTTAAAGTGCAGTTTTCAGAACAACCCGAGGTCTACAACCGTTTCCTAGATATTATGAAAGACTTCAAAAGTCAAACTATTGACACACCGGGGGTTATCGAACGGGTCTCTACCTTATTCAAAGGGCATCCAGCATTAATTCAAGGTTTCAATACCTTCTTACCACCTGGATATCACATCGAATGTTCAACGAATCCACACGACCCGGATTCAATCCGTGTTACTACCCCAAACGGAACGACAACAACACAAATAGGTCCTATGGAAACGCACCACGGACAGCTATCGAATATCGCTGGTGCCGGATACTATCCAAATTCTGGGTATCCACGTCCGCCCCCACCTTCATTGATGCCAACTTTGACACCACATCCCCCAAACACTTCGCTCCAAATGCAAGTTCCATACCACATGAGCTCACCGCAACAATCCGTAGGACAATCGGTGGCTCAGCAAACTATTGCGCAGGCAGTACAATCGGTAGGAGTCGGTGTCACGGGCAGCACCTCGCCTCAGCAACAGGGGAAAAAAGCACCTGTCGAGTTTAATCATGCAATCAATTATGTAAACAAAATAAAAGTGAGCATTCAATTCGAGTACGTTGTGTTGGAATCCGTGGAAGTCGATTTTTATAGTGACCAAAAAAAATTAAAAGCCTTTGTTTTTCACGGCATCCATAGAATCGTTTTTCGACCGAACCAGACACCTACAAAGAATTTCTGGAGATTCTACAAACTTATCAAAAAGATCAAAGACCGATCCAGGAGGTAGCTATTGTATCTGTGAAATTTATTCCTTCTGCGCGACTTTAAACCGTTTTGTTCCTTTTCCTCTTTGTTAGGTTTACTCGCAAGTTCAAAAGCTTTTTAAGAGTGCTCCGGATCTTTTGGACCAATTCAAACAGTTCCTTCCTGATACTTCCGGTAACGTCGCTTCCGGTGGATTATACCCTCCGCAAACCCACGGGACACCGAAACAATCTCACTTGTTACCAGCGATTTCCGCACTCACAAATAATAGCTCTGGTCAGTTTCTTCATGATTTATGTTAGATGTTTAATATGCCCTTTAACATTATATGCCCATCATTAAACAGGCCCGAGGTTGCCTCCGGTTGGTAGTTTTCAATCATCCGCATCCGCGTCTTTGCCAGCGGTTAATGAGTCATATAAGAAAAACTCATCGGGGATTGGATCGACCAGTCATTTATCTGCAACTGGTGCAAGCTCCATGAGTTCATCGAGTGTTAATAAGAAAAAAAGGTCCGTTCTCCCAAATTCGGAACGGATTCCAAACCCCATTCCTGGCAAGGTGGTTTGGTTTTGTTTTTCTGTCTATAAGAATTTTTTTTTTTTTTTTGTTGTTGTCGTCGAAGATCTTTGAAAGTAACAATGTTCAAACCTGATCTACACACACTCAGTCCAAAAAGTCAAAGACTTCACATAAGACGTCGGGTGAACAAGCTCACTCGAGCTCATCGTCTATGGGGTTAAAAGTCGATTCCATGAAAATCTTAGAGCCACAACCGCTCGCGTCCACCGAGGAATTGGAATTCTTTGAAAAGGTCAAAAGGCATATTTCGAATAAACAAAGCTATAACGAATTCCTCAAACTGCTAAATCTCTATAGCCAGCAGATTTTAGATGGCAAGGATTTGCTAAAATTAATGGCCCCGTTTTTAGGAGGATCTAACTCCGAATTGTACGCGTGGCTAAAACAATTTCTAAAGCTCAATGAAAGGGACGAAATAGTGCAGAATAAAGCTAATTCTAGGCCTCGTGTTGATTTGGAAGGGTGTATATCGCATGGACCAAGTTATCGAAAACTACCAGACTCGGTGCGTACAAATCTTTGTATGACATTTAAAAGATTTTTCTACTTTTGACAACGACCTGTCTTATACGTGTAATTAACCAACTATTTTAGGAAGCCAAGTTGTCCTGTTCTGGAAGAGACGAATTATGTTATGAAGTGCTTAATGATAAATGGGTATCTCACCCGACATGGGCCAGCGAAGATGCCGGCTTCGTGTCCCATAAAAAAAACCAATTTGAAGAGGCACTACACAAGTGTGAAGAGGAAAGGTACGTATAAAAGAGATTACTTTGATGTCTGTTTGTTTTCGTTGCGCTGAAAAATCCTGTGCCTATTTTCAGATATGAATATGACATGTTCATCGAATCGGTTCTACACACAATTCACTTGCTTGAACCGATCGAAAGAAAGATCAATACCAAGTTGACACCAGAGGAAAGAGCTAAATTTAAACTTGAGCCCGGTCTAGGTGGGAAATCGATGATATATCAACGTGTTATAAAGAAATTATACGATATTGAGAAAGGCCTCGAGGTCATTGACGCCTTACATAATAATCCGTGTACTGTTGTTCCGGTCGTATTGAAGAGACTCAAGCAAAAAGACGAAGAATGGAAACGAGCGAGGGTATGTGTTGGGCTTAATTATACTTTCTGTTTTATTTGAAAAATGATTTAACATGAAATTTATTTATTTATTTTTTAGAGAGAATGGAATAAAATATGGCGTGAAATTGATTCCAAGAATTATTACAAGTCCCTCGATCATCAAGGAATCACATTCAAAAATGACGATAAGAAAGCTTTAACACCAAAACACTTGGTTGCAGAAATTGAAAATCTTCGCCGCGAACCAACTGACGATGGGGAACCGGCTGAATATCAATTTAAATTCTTCTTTAAAGATTTGGATGTATTCAAGGACGTTGCTCGAATCCTATTTGGGTTTATGGATCGTTCGGGAACCGTTGCTCCAAACGATCGAGAAAAAATAGAAAAATTTTTTAAAACTTTCGTTCCTAGTTTCTTCGAACTTCCGATATCAATTTTTGACGGTATAAATAATGACGAATCCGTGATGCTGGTGGATCACGAAGAAACAACGACCAACGTTTCGACCGATAATAATGATGGTGAACCGTTGTCAACAGAACCGATAAGCGGAATGTGGATTCAAGTATCTAAGGAATCTCGCGAAAACATAAGAGCTGTGGTTGCCAATGCGGGGTGTGATAAACAGAAAAGGAGATCTACCTGCTACTTCTTTGGCAACAATTCTTTCTATTGTTTTTTCAGATTCTTACAGGTGATAGAAACGTTACCCCGGAATTATTCTTTAGCTCAAGTCCAAGTCGGTTGTTAATTTTAGTTTATTTATATAGATGTTATTCAGTCGCCTCGAATCAATGAAGGAGGCTGCATTAGAAATTTCGTCAACAACATCCCAGATAAGAAAGCAAAATGTTGTGGCATCTGATCTGGGTCTTCTACCCGACCGCGCCGATAGTAAGCTGTATTCCGTTAAATTGTAACAGCGACCGAAAGCTTTCGACGTTTAGCATCACACTCCGTTTCGAAATTTCTAATTTAAGCTATATTTCTCACATTAATTCATCTAGTTGACATCGATATAGATCTTACCCGAGATCCATACTCGGTGATGCTTGATCTTATTGAGAAGCAATTCGATGGAGAACTGGAATTATCGACGTTTGAGGAATGCCTCCGTTATATTTACGGAACAAAAGCGTACATAATGTTCACTGTGGATAAACTTGTTCAGAATATGACAAAACAGGTATTACCCTTTTTTTTTTGTTTTACCCATTGAGCTGGAGACGCGTTGAACTCTGATTCAATTTTACAGATGCAACTACTAGTCTCAGACGCAAAGTCGAATTCTTTAATCAATCTCTTCGAGGATAATAAGAAACAACATGATCAATCAAGTGTCCGTTCTCATATAATGTATCAATTACATGCAAACAATACGATTGGTTATGACGAGCCAACCTATCGAATAGACTACGTGTGTATATGCATTATTTTTTTTTTTTTGAAGGGGAGGATTCCTGTTCCCTTAATTCACCATTGATCATTTGTCACAGGATAAGGAGGAACAAGCAATGACCATATTGTTATCAGGTCGAGATTGCACGTTGGGAAGCGCAGTCACCTCCGAAGAAAGATGGGCTTATTATATGTACAGCTACATGTCCTTGAACCCTACCGAAGGAGTGTCGTCCAGAACAGAAAAGCCATTCCTTAAAAGGTATTATATACCATGGTATTGTGAGGTTCATCGGATATTTAGGTTATCATTTTAACTTTTTTCATCGATCACAGAAATCTGCCTTCTGTCGACGTTTCAGAACAAATAATGTCTAATGTCTCGACTCGTAATGGCTTAGAAATTAAGATTTGTATCAATTCATATCACGTGTTTTTCGTAAATAACACGGAAGATAGCTTTAGGAGGATAAATTCTTCTATACCTGAGACAAAATTAAAGGAAGACACTGAAAAACGAAAAGAGATTTGGAGGCGTTGGCTGAATTCACGTCCTGGAGATGAAATGGAAATTTGATCAAGACATCTTGACACCAGGAAGGTTATAAATGAGATAATAGTGGGATTATGGCAATTATAGAATAATAAACCTTGATCAGTTTATATGGCGTTATTTAATGAACTTTTTATAGATAGTGTGATGTATTAATACTTTGCTAGCCGACCTCAAAGCTGGTTACTATGATATAAATTTTCAAGTATTTACCGATAAAACCTTCAATCTATCTCCGGATAGTAATCATTTTGTTAAATAAGTAATTGGTGAAATAATTTACTGCCGAGATTCTGTTTGGCATGCCTATGTTTATCAAAATACTAGTTCATTGCTCAATATACAGCAGGTTTTATTATATACTGTATATACAATATACAGCATATTATTTATAGTATATATTTTTGTGCAAAATTTTATACTAATTAATAAGAACATTAAGGAATTTCTTTCTTAATCAATATATAAATTCACTTATTACATTTTCTAGGTCAATACTACTATATATTACAGAGTTTATCTAACTGAAATAAAAAAGTTTTCAAAAACTTTATTTGATTAAAATAGAAACTTGAAAATTTTAACTTTAATAAAGTCTTTCAATTGCTTAAAAAACTTAATTAAAAGATAGAAATCAACAATTTACTTCATATATCACTTATTATTTAATATTATTGTTGTTTTTTTATGAATTTACTTAGTTAAAAAAAAACCCTTTTCAATGTTTTTTTTTTTCTAATTACTAATAAAATTATTAAAATACTTATTTATATTTTAAAATTCAATATTTTATATTAATCAATTATTTTTAATAAAAATTTTACAATCCAAAAATTTGAAGTTAAAATTAAAATTAAAGTTTAACTAATATGTTAACTACTGTATATTCTCTTCTCTTTTATCCACTATTTGCAATGTATGTTGAGTTCTATTCATATTTACTACTGTAAGTGCTATATCATATGTGTTAAATGTAATAAATTTTATATCATCATATAATTATTATTTTGATTAATTGTTATATTTTTACATATCTTGATTAAAAAAAAATTTTTTTTTGCTAATCCTCTAACTATACATACAGCAACAACTTCGATTTTTTTTCTTTTTTAAGAAAAAAGAAAAAAACCCAACATAAATTGATTCATGGTCAGAAAAGAAGAGCCAATATCAACTTTACAATGCTTATATCTAGGCCAGTATAGGTTGATACCTTTTTTAACATTACAAAAAATCATAAAGAAAATAGATTTGCTTGATAAATCAAGCAAACCTTAAATCCCTTAAGACCCAGAAGAATATCAAAGCTTTCCAAGATCTAAACAGCCTAATGTGTATATCCTACTCTGCAAACATCAAAACACCTAGTTAGAATAATGTGAATATATACATATATATGGACTTGTTAACAAAAACAAATTTGACAAATATTTATTACAATAGTACAACAAAAGCAAATAGATTTGGCAAGATCCTCAATTACAATATTATCATAAAATGTGATTGACATAAACAACAGGAATCTGTAACACAATATTATAAACTAGTATAAACAAGTAAACAATACTAGATAAAGAAGTAATAAATAATACGTATCTGATTAAAACAAAATCAAAACACAAATCAAAATAGGGAATTACTAAAACAAGAAGCAAAATATGTAAAAGATTTTTTTACTTCACGTGACTTTACCAATATTACATAATTTATCCCCTATTAGCAACCCTTTATATGCATAATAAATAAGACAGAGAAGATTCTACAAATAATAGAGAAAAGGATATTATTGATACTCTAATTTGACTTGTAAGAAAAATATAACAAACATAATGAACTATGGGCTACATAACAAATAATCAGACAGGGACAAGCCACTATTCAAGTAGGAGAAAAAGCACTAATCCTAGAAATCTATATAATACTTGATAGTATTATTGCAAGTATTTTAGGAGTAGACAAGATAATGTTTTATAAAGAATAAATTTTAATACAACAAATAATATATCTCTGATAGCTTGAAAAAGAAAAAAAAGAGAATTTGTTTTAGCTGTACATTGAAAATGAACTTCTTGAAATAATCAAAAAAGAAAAAGATGTATCAAAAAATATAAAAATTCTTCCCATGAAAATTGTCATCCAGATAAAAAATAATCTAATAGTAGATAATGAAATTACAATGTCTAATGTTCAAGAACAAGAAAAGAGAAAAGAGAAAATGGAATTTGAAATACTGAGAGAAAAGATCAAAGATCAAAATATAAGTAAATATAGTATATACAGTACAAGAAACAGAGCTACAAATCTTATTTCAAATCTATACTATATAAGTAAAAAAGAAGTATATTGATTAGAAGCCATAATAGCAAATATTTTAGGAAGCATAGAAAAGGAATCTAGAACTTATCTGTGTAATGCCTTAAAACTATCTCAGGATAAATGAAACCTTCTTTATAAGAGCTTAATTAATGACAATGAATGATCGATTCTCTACTTCAAAGAAAAAGAAGATTTTTTTAAATATTTAGAAGAGATAAATAGAAAGGAAGAAGCCTTCAGTCTTTAATAACTAGAATCAGGAAAAGAAGAACACATGGATCAATCAGCTATAGACAAGATAAAGAAAAAGATATTTTGAATCGACAATTCAAAAGAAAACAAAGATATATAGTATATTGTATAAGTCTAGTGAATGTAGATCATAAACTCTCCAGAAGCTATATAAAAGAATATCTAAAAAGATATAAAAATGTTAAAAATATCGATATCTATAAGGTAAAAACTAAGACCAGAATAAAGGCCTATTCCAAGTGACATAAACACTTCAAAATCAATTCTAAAGAAATATGGATGATATCACTTGAAATAGAAATAACAAGAATAATCTTCACTAAAGAAGAATTGACTAATAAAGAAATAAATGAGATTTTGATCAAACTAAACAAATACTCAGTCAGGTTTTTAGGCACTAATAGAATACTCTCAAGTTTGATAGCCAGGATATTTAATGGTACAGAAGTTAAGGCCTATTATACATCAAGAAACTCTTATATGTTGAAAAATAAAACTTTACAGTATTATGCTTTATAACAAAAGAAGCACTAACAAGAGCTTATAAGTAGTATATTTTCTTGTAGGGACTAAGAATATCTTGAAGTGTAAAAGCTACATGAAAAACTATAAGAAGTTCTAAATCTAGAGTTTAAAAATTAAGAGAAAAGCTGAAGCATAGAACAGTATAAATGGATATTGAATCCATATTAAATTCATTATCAGACAGAAAATCAATAAGCTCTAATACAACCATTGAATATAAGTGACCAACTAATCAAAGAAAAAGGTATTAAGATTAGAATAGTAATATTCAACAAAAATACCATAGAACCTTAGGTCACTTAGCAACAGAAAATAGGGTATTATTGGGAAACTCTAGAAGTCCACTAGAAAATCAAAATAGTAGACAGTATAATGAACTAAAGCTTAAGAATGAGCAAGATTCACTAAAGCTCATATTGACAAATCTGAAAAAACTGAATAAAAGAATTTCTAAGCTTGAAGGCAAATCAAGATTCAGCTGACAAAGAAGAGAAAGGTCTGAATGGATAGACTGCTCCTAAAATGTTACACTAGTTGATCAAGATAAATATGAAGAGAAAAAGCCTAGTTCTCTTTTAATGAAGATTTATAACAAGGGAAAAGTACAAACCATAGATTTAGATGAAGTTGTAGAACAAGATGATGATCTAAACATAAATAAATTCCTATAAAATAAGTATATTACCTTTTTGAGAAGTCAAAATATAGATGTGCAAATAAAGAATACAAAAGAAATAGAAGAATATATTTAAAAAAGAGTGGTAAGAATAGTCACACACAATATCAGAGGTGCAATAGACAAGACAAATCAACATAGTCTTATTGAAGAGATATAGAAACAAGAAATGGGTATAATGAAAATATATGAAACTAAACTAATCCAAACCAATGCAAAATGGACTTTTGAAAATCAAAAAATCCATAAGCATTTTTAAAGCATCAATAAAAACATATCATTTGAAGTAGGGGTCAGCTTCCTAATCAGGAAAGATTTGAAAAAGAAAATAGCATCAATAAAAGAGAAAGAAAGTTATATAATAATAGCTAATTTCCTTATAAAAAAGAAAAAAGTCTGTATTATACAGGTTTATATTCCTTCAGACAAACAACAATACAAAAAGATACAAGAGAAGTTAATCAGTCTTATCAAAAGAAAGTAGAGACAAAACTTTTACATAATAATAATGAGTAATTTCAATGCTATCTATAATCTATCAGAAGATAGAACAATATTATCCAAGGTTAGATTCAAATCTTTATGATATCTTGAAATTCCACTATTTAACTTTCTGAATGAATATGGCTTTATAGATACCCAGGTAGTATGGGAAGGCAAAAATAAAACTCCAGCACAGTGAGATGCCATAAGCAGTAGTAGAATTGATTATATTTGGATATTACAGGATCTAATAAGATATTTATTACTGTAATTTGATAATCAAGAAATACAAGAAGTCATGATGAGTAATCATACTATGCTTATAATTACTCTTCAAGATGAAGATCTCTTTAAAGAAGCTCAACTATCAAACCAAAAACATAAAACAAAAGAAGAATTGATATAAAAGGATCTTTATCAGAACAATTGCAAGCCTATTGAAAAAACTTGAATTATAAGTTCAAGATGAAACTGAAACCTCTTCTTTTAGAAGAACCTGAAGTAGATAAAGAAGAAAACTCGCAAACAAGATTTGGAAAGTCTTTAAAAAACAGATGTATAAAACAGCTTTTAACAAGCTTAAAACAAAAAAAGTCCCATCATATAAGAAAGAAATGATTGACATAGTCCTGAATTTTTTAAATATAGAAAAGCCTTGCAACTAAAGAAACTTCTCAAGAAAACTGGACCTCGAAAGAAATAGAAAAGCTACAAAATCTTTGCAAGGCAATAGAGAAACATAATACTATTTACAATTCATATTATTAGATCA